GGAGTGCGTGTGTGCGCCCCAGAAGCGCGAGGGCAAAGCTTGCGCGTCGCGCACGGACGTGGGTCATTGCGCTGGATCGAGCGCCGCTGGGCGACCAAGGCTGCCCTTACGTGACCTCGTCTGTGGCGTCTGGCGTTAGGAGGTGGGATGTAGAATCACTACATGCAGCCTTCGCCATACTGTACTACAGGTGACATAACTCATGCGAGGTCCTGATCGGAGTTCGAGTTGGTAGCTTAATGTGCACTTTTTCTTGGTATTTTGATCAACTTAGTGAATCTGATGCTCCGAAAGCCTTATACAAAAAACTGCATAAGTTTGGCGTAGTCGGTGGTTGCAAGATGTCGAATAAATGACTCATAAAAATTAATAGAACAGAAGAAAACTTTTTATTTTATGTACGTTTTGCTATAAAAGCATAAAAATATAAACAAGAACACTTTAAAGAAATCCCTTTCGGAACCAGATACACCGAAAACAGGCTTGTTCGATTTAAAGCATGGAATAAGGTACGTTTTTGCACAATATCGTTTCCACCAATACGTAATTTAGAAACGGAACAGCCAAAGATTCGCCAGTTTTCACAAAATCTTAGTACGAATTCGGTCAACCTTTGCCGCGTTTGCAGTGTTAAAAAAGCGCTCAAAATACAAAGACAAATGTAAGTAATTTTCATTTTCAGCCGAAAGTTAATGATAAAGTTTCAGGAAAATCAAAACGTCAGTCAAAGTTCCCCATTTTTTTTGACTTTACGTAGGAAAAAGGTAACTTATGCCAATGTTCGTCAAATAAATATCTAACTTATGTGCTTTTTAAAGAGGCAATTTCTTATAGAAAGTTTTTAATAGATCTGTTATGAACTTCCGTTTTCTCGGTAAGGAGTTTCGTTTTTACGGTGAGTATCAAAATGTGTCCCAAATTGGGCGCGTTAATAAAAAGTAATATCCGGAAATCATTTTTTCGGTAAATGCTCTATAATATACCTTATTTCAAAGGTTTTGATAAAATTACCAAATAAAAACTAAATTTACCGAAAGAAACTTTAAAATACGTAAAGCCTTAAAATACCGCCGGAGTTTGAAGGAGCGTCTGAAAATAATCGCAATACGATACGAGAAATATCTGTAAGGAAATTTGACGAAAATAAAGTCCTTTTAGTATACCCGACATGTTACATTGACGATTTCAGCTTACAATTATGTTTACATTCACTCGTCAACCTTACAGCGATCTTCCATGTTTTCGGAATTTTAGCATTCCTTAAAAATTATTATTTCGATGCAAACAATTTGTACTTTTTACATTTCCCTAAATTTTTAAATTCACTCATGGTTATTCCTTATTACTTCAAAGGTTTCGTACACGCGTTTATAACAGTTTGCGAGTGGTTATCAATCTTTTGCAAGGTCCCATATTGTATGTAGACCACCACATTAACCTGGCACACGACGAGAGTATTACACATACTTTTATACTACTTGTGCTAAGAAAGTAGCCATATTTTATTACTATTTAAACACCAACACCTTTTGTTTTTCGCGTGCGAGTATGTAATTGACGTATTTTTCTCCATTTTTATTTTTTTTCATGTATTTTGTCCATCTTGTTACCACTAGGGAGCTCAAAAGAATTCAACTCTCTTCGCCTTAATCAAGTGATACAAATTTTAGAAGTCCTCATAAGTTGACACTTTAAAACCACGAAGCTCCCTCTCTCCACCAAGAACCGCATTTGAAGGTGGCTGATTTTCTCTTCAATTGAGTAATACGACAGTATTGTTATGCATTCTTTGCATAAGATAGAAGCAGATTTACGCAGGTATAAAAAATCGCCAAAATACCAACAGCCCTGGTGGTGATCCTCTTAGACTGTCAATAACACTGGTGACTGGAAAGCTGCTCATTTAAAATGGGCAAGAAATGACATCCGTATCCTCGGATAGTGGGGTTCACAATCTCACCGATATATTTGGCAGTTACTGCACAGGAAAATCAACTTGATTAACAAACATACCTTAAAGACAATGCTAAACAATAACTCTAATTAAAATCCATGCGAGCATTTGCGATAGGGAAAGTTGGATAATTAGCTGGTTTTTGCAGGCCTGTTGTGGATCTAAGTACGTAACCTTTCGGTTGTTGGTGATAAACTTGAAGGTTGGTTAATATCCGATGCACATGAATCGTCTTTAGATGTAACTGTAAGTAACCCATATCTGCTACTGCTATCTGACTGTCTCTGATGACGATTCCACGATGGATCTCGAAACGTCAGGCGAATAAAAGTGTTGTCCCAGCGATCAAGTCGTCCTCGTCTGTAACTGCATTGTTTAATTGGGGCCAGATGCTCCACAGCTATCGGTTTTTAAGTCGAAAAGAAAAACCACGATACAGGTTAAGAGGATTTATAGAAGTAACTTTTCATTCAATTGCGATTGACTAAAAATTGATGGCACTAAACCCAGTTCACATACTTGTATCCCCCAACAGGTTTGTCCTACAGACTATCGGCCAACCCCCCTTCCAGGTTCAACGAGAGTAAGTCACACAGTTCTTCACATTGTGCTGAATTCTTGGCACCTCCGTTTTTATAGTAACCTGGATACCGTTATTTTCTTGAAGATCTGTTGTTCCTGCTTCCTGGATAACGGATCCGCGGAGACGGGTGCGGGAAACGTTACCCTTGAAATATCTTCTCGGTGTTCTGGGCCCTGGCACGCTGGCATAGCCCCCGCCGTCCTCTTCATTCCACTGGGTACGATAGAAGCTTCAGCATACGCCAAGTTTGTGGCAAAATGTAAAAGTTCACTTTTGTCGGACGTAAATACACGACATGCGTCAGTGATTATGAACTCAAATGCCCAAAAATATTGCTAAATAAAAAAACTACTTATGCTAATATTCAGTACTGGTTAGCATAGAAACAAATAAAATGTTAGTGTTGTGGTCTCTTCTAACCTACCGGCGATAGATATTGATGATAGTGTAATTTGGACGTCGGTTCATTGATTCTGCATTGCAGAGCAAAGAAAATATATGTAAAAAGTAGAACTTATAAAAGTAAAATATAGGAATAATTATTTAAATAATGCAATGTATGACAACAAAAAGGCGCGCCAAAAATTTAAAAAAGTGCAACTATCCACCTATCGACAATTACGCAAATTTGTGGAACAACGCAAAAAAACTACGAGGTTTGGTGAATAAAGTAAATTAAATAATAAAATAAGGTAGGATTAATTAGTGAGGCCGACTTGCGATGAAAGGCTACTTCCTACTGTTCAGTGGACCGATTTTCCGTTTTTTTTCCGCCGCTAGTTCACTGGCATGCAGGAGTTGGTTCATGCGCGGGTTTTCGTTCGCCTTCCAAACGCACTTTTTGCGGCTAAACATTGTCTCAGTGACCTTACGCGGGGCTTGCGAACACCCTCCCCTTAGTGGTGGTAACTGAAGTAACTTTCACGCGCTCGCCGAGTTTTTGGTGGTATTAAAATGTACTTCAGTGACCTCGCCCAAGGTCAGCGAACACCCCCAACTTACACGCGCTCGTCGTTGCTCTAGTAGGGGATCGTGGTGTGATAAGTAATGGTACGGAAATTAGGGCTACTGAACAGTAGGAAGTAGCTTTTAATTATAAGTCGACAACATTTGTGGGCCTCACTCATCAATCCTGCGTAAAATAAGAATAACACTATTCGGTTTTTGCTTATTGCGCGCTTTTTGTTAGCATGCATTGTATTGTTTAAATAATTATGACTATTTTTTTCTTTTATAAGCCCCATTTTTCTACGTATATTTTCATTCTCTGTAATGCCCAAATTATATAATCTCCATTACTGCCAGTCCCGTATTACATATGAGTGAGGTTTTGGCATGCTGTTTGGGAAGGTAAATTAAAGTTATACCGAAAAATATAATATACATACGGACTTTCGTCTCACAAAAGTGCAGTAAAAGTAAACTCGCTAGGTTTTAAGTTTTCGAGTTGGTTAAAATGCACCCTCCTGAAACTTTGTAAGTAAGCATTGATTATCAAATCTAACCATCAGACGACACCTCTATTCAGCGTTGCCTATTGTTCCATCACTCGGTCCTTCAGATTGGCTGTCGTAGCTTGTCACACCCAGAGAAGCCTCTACTGCGCTATCACTAAAACCACAGAGAAGAAGCTGGATCAATGCCCACATAAGAGCAGCAGGTATCTCTAAGTACGCACTGTTAGAAAGAATGATTGACTCCCCACTGTGTACTGGGTAAGGTCCGAAATGCGTTCGCACATGACAGTGATCATATGTATATCTACCTATGCAAGGAGCCAAGACCAAGTGCTCCTAAAAAAGTGCAGTAGTCGCCAAAGATCATGCAACAACGTCAAGTCTGCATGAAAACCGTTGTAGCTCGCAATGCATTTACTTACGCACCCACAACCGCAATCCGGTTGAGGAAGCCAGTTTTGTGCGCAGAAAAGAACCTCATGCAAGCCCCGAGTTTCGCATGGCCAACGATTACCTAATTGCCTGCATCGTTCCGTGCTCTGATTGGCTCCCGCGTGTAAGGAAAGACAATCTATCGATTTTAAATTTAAACCTCCCATGTAACTGTACGGCCTGACGAGAAGTTACCGAAAGCGTACGCTCGCCAAAGTTTTGTTCTGAA